ATGGCGAACAGTGAAGAATACACAGCATGCCTTCCATTTTGATAAAGGAATTTGAAAACAAAACCCATAGTCTCATAGAATCTTTATAGTTGGAAGAGACCTTTAAAGGTCATCTAGTCCAACTTCACTGCAATGAACAGGGATATCCCCAGCTTATTGAGCCCCATCCAGCCTGACCTTGAATGTCTCCAGGTATGGAGCTTCCACCACACAAATACAAGGTCAAATATCCCACAAGTTTTACGTTTTTGTTCCCAAATTCCTCCATTTGCAGAAAAAGATTGCACCCATTGACCGATGCTTGCTGAACATTTATGGAGACCAAACAGTGGATGTGAGCAGAGTGAGATGGTGCGTGGTGTGTTTCAGCTGTGGTGACAATTGGTCACCTCTGCTGGTGCAGATTTTTATGAGCACAGCATGCAGGCTCTTGTTCATTGCTGGTGAAAATGCAGAGCTTATGGTGGTTATTATGTTGAAAAACAGTGTTTTGTAGCTCAGATCAAACAGTGTTATTGTGCTCTTTTTATCTGTTGTAGTTCCCATGGAAATAAGTAGGATTACTTTTGGAGTGACCTACATATATGCAGCCCAAGACAATTTTTATTCACTAAATGCAGCCCAGGCACACCAAAAGGCTGGACACCCATGCCCTACAGCTTAATATCTTAAATAACCACCTGCCTGTCTCATTCCTATAGCAGACCATCTGTAGGGGGCCTGGGCATCTTCAGCCTTCATCCTACCCGTTATTATCTGGGGGCAAGCTGTGAGCTCATGGGACCTTTTCTTGAGAAAACCAGCCATTCAATTCCCATACAAAATTCTGCAGCACAATCTAGCCTTGTGCTTTTTGGTACCATGGTCTTAGTAAACATAATCAATCATCAGAGATACTAGAGAAAAAGAAATAAAACCGAATATTCTTTTGAAGAGAAAAAAAATTCTCTCATATACTCTTGTACAACCAGATATCAAAGCACCTCTTGAATTTTGGAGAAGAGGGTCATTTCTCATCTTTTTCACTAAGCTTCCATGAAAGACCAGTTGGGTTCTCACGTATGCAACAGAAGGAGAATATAACCAAGAGCAATTATAGACACTGAAACAAATTCTAAGAGTGAAACCAATTCTAAAGATTTTATTGTTTTGTCTTTTCATATTTTGATCCATTTCTAATCTGAAACGTGCAATTAAGAACATGTTGTGCTATCTGCAACAATAGGCAAGGTTTACATATAGCTGTTAATTATCACAGAAGGTGCTGGGAAACATTTTGTAAAGCTCTGTCTACACTATACAGAAAGAAAATCACAGCTGCAGCTAAGCAAGCAACATAATAATAATTACCCTGAAATCATCTGCTTGAATTTTCAAATGAATTCACCATGAGCAGGCTTAGGCTCAGATAGCATTCCTTTTCTGGCAGCTTTCTATCAGTTCAATAGCACAGGCTTCTTATAGGACCTTAGAGCTGGAAGGATTTCCTGGGTGTCTGATTTTCGCTCCCTGCTGTGGCTGGCAGACATAGTATATCTGAACCACTTACAAGTGATAAAGCTCTATCTTTAAAAGGAAGGGGATGGGCAATTCTGTCATTCCCCTTAAAAGTGTGCTTTCCATTTATAAGTGCCTTGTTTCCAGCTAGATCTTGTCTTAGGTGACGTTATCCATTAGCACCAATGATTTTTCCACTATTTACCAGGTATTTATACACCACTCTTGAGACTCAGGTTTTGATTTGTTAAACAAGCTAAGCTCTTCTGGTCTCCTATACAAAGTTTCTAGATGGTCAAACAAAAAAAGGAAAAAAGAAAACAAACTCAGATCTCTATCCAGACCTACATATGGAGATTTCCATCAAGTGTCTGCCACCATTCAAAAAAAAACATACAAATTCTTAGTACTAGTTTTGTATTGTTGCAAGAAAACAGATTGCCCCAAAGCTGCAGAAGGAGAGAAAAGACTGTGCTTCCTAAGCTCTTGGCTGAGCACCAACACAACCTAGTACATGCTAGGCCTACTTCCCAGAAATGTTAAGCACCAGCAACCCTCTTTGTGTTCAGGTGAAGCTGAAGATGCCCAGACTGAGCCCTTAGAAGTCTAATCTGGCTCTTGAAGTAGATGTAGAAGTGTGTCTACATTTGTCCAATATTATAACATGACTCCTAATATCCTTGGGCACATTTAAAATGGGGAATGGTGGCAACATTTCACATCCTTAGAAACCATTTTCCCTTTTGCAGTCACTTAACTCGGCATGTTCAGTCTCAAAGTGAATCACAAGTGCAACACTTAATGGTCCTCTGTGGTCAGAAGCTGTCTGAAGATGCTGACTCATCTACATCACATGCTCTGAAGATACACTGATTAGCAAATGTCCAGTTGTTGACTGCTACATGACCTCTCACATTTGGAGACCTCTCCTGGGGCTAATGCTTGAACAGTGGATGGATGAAGCCTGGATGTATATATGTGAAAGGAAAGTACGGGTCTACCTGAGGTAAGGGACTAAATGGGTCGCTGACATTTCCAATAGGTTTTGACAGTGTGAAAGGTGTGCTAAGGAAAACAGTGTCAAGTTCTGTCATTCTGACTGATGTTAATCCTGAAAGAAGGAGGAAGGCATAGGTAGAGCTCACTAAAGGAAAGGAAAGCTGCTGTGGTCCATGGTGTAGGGTCAGGCTCAGAAAGAAGATGCTCTGCGTTCCCAACAGCACAGCCCAGGAAAGTACTCAAGAATGTCCTGACATGGTGAGAAAACTGAGGCCCTCTATGGCACACAGACATTTTATTGTTTTGTCTAGATCTGTACTACTCTCATGCTGCCTAAAATAAATAGTGTCGAGGGGGCAGGAAGGGAGTGTGGGGATGTGGTTGGAAACCTTTTGCAAAGGCTGCTCTATATGTTGCAGCTATCATGTGTCCCTACAGAGGCAATCTGCCAGAATACCCACAGAGCTGTGCTCTGGGAAAGGGTTTGATTAAGCTGTCAAGGAGTCTCTGAGACCTGACACCACTCTTAGGGCCTGCATCAGTGACAGCAAATCACTACATGGAGGTCAAGTTCAGCTCTGACAAAGATTTGAGCTGGCACCAAAGACAAGTCAGCTACATGAATTTGGCACTGGATGCCAAAGCTCTTACAGAGCTGGGTGCCAAGTTCTTGGTTCTCAGAATGGGATGTTCACTTCAGGAATATGCCTGGAAACCCAAAGCCATGAAGCAAACACTCTACAGACTGGACCAACTCATGCATGGAGGAGGGAAGGCAGAGCTAGGCATACAGCGTAGAGTTCTCCAGGACTCACTATGCAAACTGCTGGGCTGAGGAACTGAATCACCAGCCCACAACCTCCCAGCTCTGCAGGAAGGTGGGAAACGCTGTGGTTTGCAGGCCCACTGCTCCTGGTCCTGCTATTCACATGTAAAGTGAGTTTCCAGCATCCTCCCTTCTCCAACAGCCTGCCAGAAACACAGTGACCCCAAGGGGTTTTCTTTTCATGGAAAATGTTGAAATTTAGGCTTCATTCCAATCTGGAAAGCAGGCAGATTTTGCAAGATCAAAATCCTCCACAAAATAAAATGACTTTTCACGGCACAGCTTTACAGATTGACGCAGACTGCATCCTACCAAAAGCAGCCTCCTGAATGAGTGTTGCAATCAGAATTTCCTGGTCTGTCACTTTCAAGAGCACAATTAGCTGCAAAACCAGTGCTCACAGTTTTGCAGAAAGGCACAGAGACTAAACAAATCAGACACAGCATCAGCAAAAGGGCACACAGGCTGCACCTCTCCTTCTCGTTGTGCCTAGTCTGATGGAACCACTGTGGAAGCCTATGTCACACCCTCCCTTGACACAAGCATTGGGAGCTGCTTCTCTCAGGCCTGAAGTGTTCATGCTGCAGCCAGCAACACTACAATTATTTCAGTTTGCATATGCTATGGCTGAGTTCAGAGTAGTTGAACTGCTTTGCACTTTCTTTTTGGGAAGTTTGCAACATTCTGCCTTGTGCTATCAGCCAGAAGGCTAGGAAGATGCTGGCAGGTTTGTTTCCAGTTTGCTCACTCACTTTGATCACCCTATTTTCCCCAATAGAAACATCCAATTTAAAATGGAGAAGAAACACGAACTGAGGATGAAGTACCTGAAGGAAGACTGCATCACCAGTTTTTGCACAACAATAACTTCTGCTTGTACCTTTAAACACATGTGCACAGCTCTAGATTTTACACAGTTGCCCAGCTTACCTACTGCATATAGAAGGTAGGACTGTGAGACAAGTTCAATTATAATTCTACTTTGCAGCTAGTTTGGTGACTTCATCTGGTGCTCTGATCTGAATGACGCAGTCGTATTAATATCCACAGGCACAGGAGAATGCTGCAAAGTAATATTTCTGAAACAGAAAAACTCTAAGACGTGATTAAGACAATACAACTTCTCCCTTGTTGTACAAAATGATTACTGTAAACTCCCTTTCCACTAAGTATCAAATGCTGGAGGCATAAGGAAAAGCTGAAAAGATGTATTTTTACTCGTTTTATTGGGAGAAGATTAAAGAGAATAAGCATAAACTTTAAATGATCTGTTTCAAATAATACAACTTACATAACAAGGAAATAGACTTATACGACTTTTTTCCTTATATTCACTTCTGGAAGAAATCTTAAGTTTAGCTACATGCCTATGCTGTCCTTTTTGGTACGGGTGTCGCTGGCTGGCTGTAATTTTCCTTATTTGTCTAAGTTATTCATTCACTCCCCACCCCATGGGGGGACCAAAGACCCCCAGCCCACTCCCAGTCAGAGCACTTTCTTTGTAAAGCATGCAAAACTCAAGTGCATGGCCGTAGCACGCTCCTCCTCTACCCAAACAGCACACTCCGTTATAGGAAAGCAGCAGTCATTAACACAGTGAGCTCATTCCAGAAACATCTCAAAAGTTTCTAGGAATAATTCCATTGACCTGCTCTTTCATACCAGACATCTTGTGTCCCCTCCCTCTCCAGGCAACGAGCTGTCCGTGAGTGCTTACATGTGAGTAGGAGTTTACACTGGAACTATATCAGTTATTTATCCTGGGATTTCTGGGTGTCTGCACAGAGTGAATGTTTGGGACCTATCCAAAGAGGGCTGGTTTCAGAACAGATCGATTTGCTGGAAACGGGTAGATTTTCTCCTCTCTCTCTCTCTCTTTTTTTAAATATCTTTTATTTTTTACCTTTAGTTTTACTTTTTGATCTTTACGTGGACAAACACCTCCCATAGACTTCTAAGAAGTGGAAGAAAAAACACGAAGGAATGAGAGAACAAACTCCAGAACTTTTTAAAAAAGAAAGGTAAATAACTTTCTCAGGTACGCTGGAGTAACACAGACGAAGTAACTCCACACGATGGAGTCAGTGTAAATTCAGTTCTGTGTTGCTGGGAAGGATCGATGAAGAGGACTGCACAGGCAGGAGTAAGGAGGATGGTGAGCAGACCTCATGCATAGCAGCATAAGAAGAAATTATAGAGAAGGGAATAAGCTGCCTTCTTGCATAGAGCTTCTGAAGAGTAAGCTCTCTTTATGTTACTACTGAGATTAAATGCTCAACATTGCCTTATGGGGTGTGCATGCCTGCAAAGTTCAAATATTTTATGTGGGACTTATCTGGCCTGGAGGGAAATTCCTGATGCCCCTATATTTAACTTCTAGCACAGCAGGCCAATAAAATTCTCTGTAGTTTTAACTCTCACAGCAACAACGTCCAAAATTAGCAGCCTTTTTTTTTCCCCTCCTCTCACAACAGCACAAAACTATCCAGAGGAATTTCACTAGATGAAGTAACAGTTATCCCGTGCTAAAGTGGGATGACCTTAACAAGGAGCTGCATCCGTTTCTGCTTTCTGTAAAGTGGGGAAGCCGCTTGCATCAGAGTTTTGACACTATTGCAGCTCACGGCTCTTGTGGAGCAGTGCCAGCCCCAGGAGCATAGCAGAAGCACCTCTGCCATCGGTGGTGAGGTTCTTGTCAGCCATTTCTCCAGCCTGTTGAAGTCCCTCTGCATGACAGCACAGCCCTCTTGTCCTGACAACCGCTCCTTCCAACAGCACTGTAGAGTGTGTGCCATATGCCATCCTCCAGATCATCAGTGAAGAGCCTGAACAGCATTGGCACATGTATCAGCCTCTGAGGCACATCGATTATACCACATTGTGTCATCAATCACATCAGGTCATGCCAGTGTACCTAGAGAAAGCCCTCCTGTCACCTTTTGATTCCCCCATGAGATTCAATTCCAGATGACTTTTGGCTTTTCTTAACCACTCCCTGCACACTCCAGCAATGCCCATATAATCCTTTTGAGTCACCTGCCCAGGTGGTGCCCACCTTTACACCTCTTGTATACTTTATTTTCCTTGTTCATCCATGCAGACCTCCTGACACCTTCTCTTATTTTCCTGCTCAGTGGGATGGACCATTCTTGAGACAGGAGCAGGTGATCCTTGAAAGTCAACCAGGTCTCCTGGACCCTTCTTGTTTCCAGGGCCATTTCCCATGGGATTCTTCCAAGCAGAGCCTGAAGAGGCCAAATCCTGCTCTCCTAAAGTCTCAGGTTGTAATCCTGCTTTTAGCCACGTTTTTCCCCTCAGGATCCTGAATTGTCCCACCACAAATACTGAAGAGCAGAAAGACGCCTTGTTCCCAGCTTGGGCTCTGGCACAAAACACATATGAAAAGCCAATTCTTCATGTGCTTGAGTGAGAAAAAATAGAGTATAAAAATAATAGAAATGATAGATCTTTCTTTGGAAATGTTGTCTGAAACATTTGTTTTTGTCTCTTTTTCCTTCCCAAATGGCTTACATGAGAATATTTCGTAGTGCTTTTACATAACATTTTATACTGTGTTAAATCACTGATCAGATTTCTTTGAAGGGAATCCTTGCGGGCCGTTTGCAATGCTAGAAAAAGAAGAGAAGAGAAAAGCATATTCTTTTCTTTCTTTCCAACTGGAAAAAGCCAAACCCAATCAACAGGGAAATGGTTTAATTTCAGACTCCTACAGCGATGTTATACCCATTGGCAAAGAGAAGAAAAAACATTTTTAAAGTACAACTGATACTTCATTTTTCTTTTTTGACTGTTTTGCATAGTTTTTTCTGTCTACTAATATGGTATAATCACTTTTCTTTTTTTAATTTTAAAGATGCAGATTTAAAATGTTCAGCTCAATCAGATCCATAGTCTTTTGCTAGCCAAGAAGCAAACGCCTTGCACTGTGTGGCACCATGGGTTCAGATCACCACCATTGCGCTGCTTTTTTACCACACCTGTTTGAAACAGAAAATTTTCCATTTCTTTCAGTGAGTGCTAAGAGTGAAATGCTGGTAATGCTGCTCATTCTTCAGGGCTTCTAAAATACAGACATCTAATCGCATGTCAGCCAACCTAGTCTTCGTGGAAAAGTTGTAGGTGTTCTGATGCTACCTGCACTACGTCTACCACAAACACTGATACAAAAGTCTGTAAAAGTATGTAAAGCAGGGAGTATGATTAAAAAGTCTATGGAAGCTTCTGGAAATCTGGCAATCTGTGGTGTTTTTGAATACAGAAACAATGAATGTAGGTTTTGTTCATTTGCTATGGTGAAACTTGCATGCTACGTATCCCTAGATGATTCTGCCTTTCTGTTCTGTACCATTGGGGAAAAAAATGTAGATACATAATAGAATACAATCTCTCTTTCCACACTAACTCACAATCCTGACGTGCAACTAGACCTCATGGGAATTGAGACTCCTTTAAACAGGGGATTTGTGTAATGCACTCTTTGGTTACCTATGGAGAATCAGCCTGCCATGCTCTGGCCTCCTGACCACGTGGTGCCCATTTGTATTCCCTTCCTCCCCACACTTCTGTGCAAACAATTTCCATTCTGGGGACAGGTTTTCAGGAAGATTTAGTACCAAACATCTCTCCTAAAATAAATGGCTGGATTTTCAAAAATGCTCAACATCTTCTCTATGGGTGAACTGCTGAGCAAAAGACTCCCTTCCTCCTGGTACCCTATTTTGACACCTTCACTTAAATATCCCCGCAGGCTGGGTATACCAGTCCCACACTCCTAACTGTCTGTCTTTGTAACAAATGTTTGAGGTTTGCAATAAAAACAACTATAACCCAAATCTTGCTGTAAATCTATTTATTTTATCTAGAGCTCCAAAGTTTGGAGGAAGAGTTGGCATTATTCACACTGTAAGTCACTGGAGCCGTACATTTCAGCACAGATAAATCAAATCTCTGCAGCACTGAACAGAGATAGCAAAACACAAAGAAGTCTACTTGCAAATCCAGGGAGATTTTCTTGCATAAAGGCAAAGCTGTTAAAGTTTTAACAGGATTGAAAATTGCAAGAATGTGCATTTACAACCAAGTATTGCATAAAACATAGTTTAAAATGATTCCACTTTTTAAGAATACTGGTACGTTATTAAAATATGAACTTGCTCATGTAGCTTTCAGATGCATCCCAGTAGAGTGTAAACTGAAAAGTCATTGCATTTCACTGCACAATAGTCAGAAGCAAAAGCAATGATGCGTTCTCAGCATTCATTAAATGTTGGAATATGTACTGAGGATGTAAGTGTTGACTAGACTCTCAGGGAACTGCATCATTTATATTCAAAACTAAGCTTCATAATAAATACCAAGCATCAAATCTCCTTGGACAGCATCTCTCAATAGATTTCTAAAAACGTACATTTATGGAGTAAATAGAATATTTAATGGCTGCTAGCAGTGTATCAGATTTGTTTTGCTTATGGGAGCTGTGGTCATCAAATATGCATGCGGATGGTTCTTACGCAATGCTGACATCTTTCTAACTTGTGAAATAAATAATGGGTCAGCGGGAACTGATGAGATAAGTAGATCGCTTTATCTGAGAGGGGTGACCAAGCCTTTCCTTGGCAGTAAGAAGAGAAAGAGTTGCATTCTCAGAGCAACAGGAAAAATGCAAAGGCATATTTCTTCAGCTAGCAAATCAGGCACATCTCTCAGTCTGGCTATGTATTATCTTATTTTCTCCTTTTGACTGTTCCTCCCAGTTCAGAGGATTTATTTGCTGGTGTCAGGGTCAAGCAATGCAAAAATGACTCATAAGTTTCTGCTACCAGACAAGCTGAGCTGAAGTACTTGATCATATCAGGTGAGGGGAGCTTGGTAACATGTACATAACCCAGCCCCATATTTCTTACACAGGCAGTTTTCCCTTAATCCTGTTCCAGCAAAAACAGAATTTTACCTCTTACAGAAACATGAAGACTTTTTCTTTCTTTTTTTTTCTTTCTTGCTTTTCAATGACCTACACACTTCAGCACTGGTACACCTTCGATGCATTCCCTTAACACTACTACTAAACCACGTACTTGTTTAAGAATTTGGCATCATTGCACCGGAAAAAATCTGCAAGTAAACCAATCATGCTGTGCTATAAGACAAGATCAGATGAGAGGACATTTCCTGCACAGTTGCTCTTCACTCTCTCAGAAGACCTTTGTATTATATGCAAGCATTGTGTTGTGCAGTGGTTACACATCCCTTTGTACAGCCTGATCACAGCACCTGGCCTTTCTCCCTCTAGTGCCTGGAATATCTTTGTACAAGTCAAGACAAGAAATACTTCCAGAGCAGCCTGGAGAAATACTGCATACCCAGCACTTTGTAACATCAGTGACTTACTCACCAGCTATGATTTTCTAGAATTAAAACACACAAATTGCCTTTAATTTCTTCATCAATATGAGCTTCCTCATTTGCAGCTCAACACTTGAAGTAATTTTTCGATCTCATGGATTTAACTTGTTAGTTGTTCTAAGTGGAAAATTACAGAATCTGCACAAAAGCTGCTCAAAAGTCTAAGTACAGAGTGATATGAGTTTAAGCAAAACTACAATCCAAATGTCCAGTTTTGAACCAGGAGATAAAATGCTTCAATAACATAATCTGATTCCAGTGCCCTTTTCAATAAAAACACAGGGCAAACTCATACTGAAATCACATGCAGCTATATCTGTACTCCCGAGAATGACTTGCCTTAAACAGAGATAACAGTGCGGGGGACCTTGGGTAAGTCTGACTTATTACTGTAGACCTTGAAAGATATGAATGTTAGCAAATGGCTGAAAGCCCCAAACTTCAGCCCTCACTTCAGACTTGTATGAGTATGAGTATGAGTATAAGTATGAGTAACTTGGAGTTTAATTTGCAAATTTAACCTGGGAAGAGTTGCACTATAGACTGAACAAGAAAAGAATGCAACCTGTATCTCTACATTTTGTCACACATCTTTCACTGCAGCATAAACTGTACTTCAGTGGGAACACGAGGTATGAAAAGCTTTCATCAAAATGAAATGATGAAAGTTGTGTCATCATGATACAAGTGGCGTGCACTAGAGACAAATTCTATGGAGGACAATTAAGGGATGGCTTCCTGCTACAGAAATTTCTTTCTAGTGCTCTGGCAGTTAGATGCTCCCCCAGAGAAGGAGGAAAATCTACATTCTGTCATTATTTTCTTCTTCTCTCCTTGAAATATATGTGCTATATATTTTTAGACAATACGTGGCTAAAATTCTATGTTGCAACACTGATGAAGGCATATCCATCAATCACATTATTCTAAAATTACTTTCAATTTCAAAATTTTTTTCTTACTACAGTACACTATTACAAACATTCAAGATAGAGAAAATCTGTAGTTTCTCCAAGTACAGATTTGATAAGGCAAACAATCAAAACAACAAAAGGCCACTCCCGTCCATCCTTTGAAGTCCTCTTGAGCTTTTTTTTTCACCCAATGCCAAATCCAAGGAAAGCCACCAATACAGTTTTGCTGTCTATGAAAGACACCGTAACTCTGTTCTAATTTTCTGCAACCTTTCTGCAAATAGTCCATCACTTCAACTCCATTTTCGTTTTTAACTTTCCCGCCCTAGGTCAACTGAGGACCTTTAATGGTTCCTTCCGACTCAAATTATTCTGAGGCCACACCTTTACTACTGTGTTCAGTTTTGGGCCCCTCACTAGAATAAAGACATTGAGGCCCTGGAGTGTGTGCAGAGAAGGGCAACGAAGCTGTGAGGGGTCTGGAGCACGAGTCTTATGGGGAGCAGCTGAGGGAACTGGGGTTGTTCAGTCTGGAGAACAGGAGGCTCAGGGGAGACCTTAATAGCTCTCTACAAATACCTGAAGGGAGGTTGTGGATGCGACAGTTGGCCTCTAACTAGCAACAGGATGAGAGGAGATGGCCTCAAGTTGCATCAAGGGAGGTTCAGGTTGGATATTAGGAAAAATTTCTTCTCCAAAAGAATGGTGAAGCACTGGAATGGGCTGCCCAGGAAGATGGTTGAGTCACCATCCTTGAAGACCTTAAGGTGTTCAAGAAACAGACAGATGTTATACTGACAGACATGGTTGAGTGGGGAAACATTGGTAGCAGGTGGATAGTTGAACAGGCTGATCTTGGGGGCCTTTTCCAACCTTGGTTATGATACCATTCTCCACCATTTAAACTATTTGCCTTTTACTACTATGATTTTCATGTCAATCACTTCTCAACATATCTCATTACTTGCTTATCATATTTTCCAATAATCAAATCTTCCAAATGCCCCAGATATTTAAGTTGATATTTAACTTGCCAGGCTTGCAAACAAACCTTTGTGGTTTGCA